GCAGATTGGACATTCTTTATCCTTAAAATAAAGATGCCTCCGGACAAAGATGGGAATTGAGATAAAGACCGAAAAAACATGGAAATCTAAGAAATGTAGAATTAATTAAATGAGTCATAACATTGGATATATTCATTTACAATAGGAAATTTATTTGATTATATATTTGTATGGTTGGAATCGGAATTCACGACAAATCCGACACAAGTACTTAAATACTTTCTTCCATGATTTTGAGTCATATTAAAATCATAACGGCTGACGGAAAGATGATATTTCCTGTTCAAATGACAGGACGCGCTTTTCCCTCTTGATATTAAATTGCACAAAAGCAATTTTTGTGTCCTTTTTTTTTTTTTTGGATTCCCTTGCACGGATTTCTATTTAGCAGAAGTTGTAATTAAACAGTAGTAATTTATATGATTTCTACTATTAAATTTATCTTGTTTTTTCAGGAAGTTATAATGTGCATATTTGTAAATTTTCGATTGTATTTGAATTCAGCTTTTCTGCGCCTCGAAATTTCAGTTTCTTGAAATACAGAAAAAAGACTTATTAATGACTTTAAGATTATTTATAGAACTGACAGACTAGAATGTCTCAAACGATTATATTGTTTGGTCGGATAGATAGTTGAAAATGATTTTACATGAACCCAATACATTTCAGTTTATTTTTGACCAACATTATATATAAATAAGCAAATGCAAAATGTGTGGGACTATTCATCTTACTGAATAACTTTCAAAATGTGTGAGCAAATTTAAAAAGGAAATATCACTTTCAGTAGAGTTACTCTGATTAATCTTAAATCAACTGTTACTGTAAAAATATCAATATTAAAATTATGTAAATGCCCACTTTTGCTCTATAATCAAATTTTTTTTCACTGAAATTTAAATCGTATTAGACAATGCTGCAACTTCCATTGGTTTTGGAAGCAATTAAATTGCAAGAAAGAAAAATATTTCTGGTATCAATCACTGAACTTAGTGTCAAGCGTTCAACATCTCTTGATTGAATCATTTGTACTTAAAACGATTTAATCATTTTTCCCCTCAGAAACATATTCACTGCTTTTTTTTGGAAAAAGAAAAATAAAAGAGAAGAATTGAGATCCTTAATTTTGATCAAAACCTGTCTCAAATTGAATCTATTTCAATATTATGACGAACTAATTTGTATAGCACATCTAACAAGAAAAAAAAAGCAAAAAAAAAATCCCTATTTAACCACACACATGAACACTCACAACCAATTTCAAAACTGAACTTTAGGATAGATACGGAGTCACAAGGAAAAATTTCGTGATATTATTCAGCGTATATTAATTAAAACCATTAATCACAAGTGATGAAGCAATATAGTCTTTTTCCTATAGTTAAGACAGTTTTAAAAATTTGGAAAAATTGAACCGGAATAAAATAAACCTGCAAAAAATGTTGCAGGAAATTTGCATAAATTAATTATTTTTCACAATGCAATATGGTAATTAAAATGAAATTATTCATCAAAGAAGATTAAACAGTGGTTCCTATTGTTACATCACTATACAACTCACTACACGTAGGCAGCTACCCACCTCAAACAAAATTAACATTATTACATGCGATCATCGACAAATACCTAGCAGAAGTGATTGGGTGATATAAAGTAGAATTTTATTCCACCAAAATTTAACAGAAGTGCGTATGGTAAAAATTTATTCTAGGCCTAACAGAAGGTGATTTGCATTTCGAACATTTCTCAGCAAATATGAGGTTATCATATTGGTAGTATATTTTAAAAAAATAGAAAAAAATGTATTTTGTTGACATTTTTCAGTTACATATCTCGTCGTAATTTTAAGAATGCTAATTACATTGAAACAGTCATGATCTACCTCAAAGTCTGAATTGAACATTGATATGTAAGTAACTAAATGATAGCAATGCGTTTCACCAAAAATCCAATCTTCTTTACCATCTGGACAACATACTGTTTGCGGCATCATACTCTTTTTTTTCTCTAAAATGAATTAAAAATGATACAGTGATATTATCAAGTTCAATTATTACTGAATGATCTATAATGTAACATGAGCATATTACGTCACCGCAAATTGAAATGAATCAAAACATAACAACTGGATATTAGTTGGAATTTTTCAATCCCATTTTTCGATGTTAATTTACGATAATTGAAGTATTACATATTGCTATAATGATTGACGTATTTAATGACAAAAACGTGTAATACTTTAATTTTGATAAGTTAATGTCAAAAAGTGAACAAATCTTTAAATTTCGCAATTTATTATAGTGTCCATAAGTTCAGTTCAGATCTTCTTTGTCAAGTCAATGTGACTGGCATTTCTGGAAAATTTTGCCAATAATACTTTCCGGAAAAAAGAATTGAAATGAAATAAAATTGGGAAAAATTTTGCAACAGCTTTGCATAAATCATTTTCCACAATGCAATATGACAACTGAAATGAAATTATTTATAGAAGATTAAAGCATAAAGAATTAAAAGTGATTTATATTATTACATTACTATAGGTTATCGATACACGTGGCTAGCCACTCCCATCAAAATTGATATTTATAGATCCCATCTCCTATCATTACCTAACAGAAGTGATCGGCTAGTGTCTTTCAAACTATCTTCCGTGAAATTTCGTCTAGTAACTTCCATTTTAATTTATTTTGACAGAGAATATCAGGTGTTTTTCAAATTTCTACGTCATGCAATTTAAGCCTCCAAGACGAGCACTCTCTCTCTTTTTTTTAAAAAGAATTACCTTTTTATCAAATTTGTAACTATGCAAGTTTGCACGAAATCTGTTTTGGAAAACTTGCGGTCAATGTCCAATATGAAAAAGGTTGTGTCAGACGTTTGAATGAGAGATGTTTGTATTATACCGGTAATAAATGAGTACCGGTCTCTTTTCAATGCTGATATATTTAGAAAAGTATACACTTGTTTTGCACAATTGTCAAACAGCAGGCGGTGTGTTTCTTATATGCAACCGTTCTTCAGTGCACTGCTAAATTTGAATATTATTTTTCAGAATTGGCAAGATATTACTCTTATCAATATGCATTTCAACTGTTTCATCTTCTTCCTTTTCCATCTGTGCAATACTCAAGCTATCGTAAGTTCATTTAAAGTAGAAGAAGTAGAGCTGAAATATATTAAGATTTTAGCGCAGCATAAGGTTGATAATTTCATATGTTTGAGGAGCCACAAACAGAACCACTGGATTTAACAATGTCAAGAGTATGTGGTGGACGGATTGAACCACCGGATGCATCAATAGCAGAAATGAGTGGGGGACAAGAGGAACTCGGCGAAACTGATCACGAAGATCCAACGTCATTGAACTTACCAATTCAAGAAGCGAGTAGGGAACAAACAGGTGTAGGAGATATGCCAAAGAAAGTCTGGCTTAGGAGGTATCAAAATGAAACATCCAACAATCAAATACTCAAAAGGAAACATCCAGAAAATACAACTCACACGGGTAAGAAGCGGTTCAAATGCGAAATATCCAAGAAGGTCGTTGCTCCACCGAGCACACATACGATGAATCATACGAGTGAGAAGCCGTTCTCTTGTTCGGAATGCAACATGAGTTTCATCTGGCCATCGTATCTCAATAAACATATGAACATTCATACCGGTAAGAAGCCGTATTCTTGTTCGAAATGTGGGAAGAATTTCGGACATTTAGCCAGTCTGTATAACCATAAGCAAATTCATACCGGTAAGAAACCGTACTCTTGTTCGAAATGTGGTATGAACTTCACCCGGTCATCGTGTCTAAACGAACATTT